AAGGATTTCAAGCAATCGTCCACATAAAAGTTCTGCTTGATGGTGTCTGTTACATGAACTGGGAAGTCTGCTTTGTGGTCTTCAGCCGTTTTTCTAAGGGCGAAACTGGCACAGCTGGGCGATGATATTGCACCAAACAGATGAACAGTCATTCTGTACTCAGTGAGCGGCTGTGTCAGATCACCTCTTGGCCACCATAGGAAGCGAAGAAAGTCTACATCCTGTTTTGCCACTTGGACTTGATGATACATAGCTTTTATGTCAGCCATAACTGCTATAGAGTTTAGGCGAAACCTTGTGAGAACTCCGAGCAAGGAATTTGTCAAGTCAGGTCCCTGGAGTAGTTTAGTGTTGAGTGACACACCTTTGTAGCTTGCCGCACAGTCAAATACCACTCTCAGGGTTTTCTTTTTAGGATGGTACACCCCATGATGCGGGATGTACCACACCTTTCCTTCTTTTCCTTTCACCTGATGCTCTGGCACACTCTCTGCATAGCCGTTGTTTATGACATCAAGAAAGTTGGTGTATTCCTCTTTGAATGTTGGATTTCTCTCCAATTTCCTTTTTAGGCAGAGGACCCTTTGCTCAGCAAGATGGCGGTTGTTGGGCATGACAACATTGTCCTCTTCTCTAAAAGGCAACTTCAAGCAGTAATGTCCATTGTTGAGTTCAGCTGAAGTGTTGGCAATTTGCATGAACTTAAGATCTTCTATGGACATTTCTGGCTTGTCTTCTGCTGATTTCTCATTGAAGTCATGGTTGTACTGCTTCACCAGCAGTTCCTCTATGTGAGCAATGGATATGCGGTTGGCTGTGACTGTGGGGCAGCTACTCCCACTCTCATTGCCTCCTCTCAATGGTCCGTTGACAACCCATCCCAATAGGGTTCTAACAGCGTAAGGTCCTTTACCCCTGCTGTTTATCACTTCCCATGGCTCCATTACTTCTGGAGAGTTAGTTCCAATTAACAGCTCCACATCAGCATCGATAGCAGGAATTTCCACAGAGTCCAAGTATGGCCAAGCATACAAGTCTTCCTGTTGTGGGATGTTATTACGAGTCCCAGGCATCTTGCATTGGGTGTACACATCAGGAAACTCAATATAGATGTTACCATTGAGTGCAGCTACCTCTAATCCTGAGATGACGTGACTGTTGACAAAGCTTTCTTTATTCATTGTTTTCATCAGGAATTTAGTGTTCCTTCCTCTCACCTTTAGCTTCCTCATCAGTTGCTCAGAGCAGAAAGTAGATGAGCTGCCGGGATCTAGAAATGCATAGGTCTTTAGAATTGTGCTGCCTTTCTTTGCCTTGATCTTTACAGGCACAATTGACAAGACGCAATCCTGTGCTCCGGCTCCTATATGGCCACATGTCTTGGGAGTAGTGGCTTGACTCATCCTTGTTGTTTCTTGCTACGAGTCCTTTGACTTGATTTATTTCCATTCCTTTGCATGGATATGGAGAATGCTAGGATGTTTCAGGTTACACAACTTACAAGACAGCCGACTGTGACAATCTTTACTCATGTGTCCAACTGATAGACATCCAAAACAAGCACCTTTCATTTTTAGGAAATCAATTTTATCCCGATGCTGCTTCTTTTCCATCTTGGGGCACACTTCCAATCTGTGGCCCTCTTCACACAGCAGACAAGGTCCCTTTGTTGACTTATCAGGTAAGTATTTCTCCTTTTGAGTTTCAGAGTTAACAGCTGCCACAGATGTAGCGAAACTGCTTCCTTTCTCCTTTATACGTCCCTGTGACACTTTATTTCCAACTTTGAATTTTGAGAATGAGACAACTGTGTCTTGAATGTCTCCATACAGTGGGTCAGATGCAATAGACACTTGTCTCTCAATAAAATTGACCAAGTCACTGAAAACCTGCTTGACGATGGCGTCTCTCCTGATGTTCAAAAGCAATGTTTTCTCCATTTTTTCCCTCAGTTTGTATGGTAACTTCATGATTATAGCACGTATGTTTGATCGCATATTCATTTCTGACATGTAGCTAATGTTCTCCATAGCGTTACAGCAGACGCGTAGGAATAGTGAAAATGCTTGTAAGGCTTTGATGTCCTCTGACTACAGTGGTGCCCATCCAAGTGCTTTTTCCATATATGCAGTGGCTATTTCTTGCTAATTTCCAAAGCGTTCTTCTAAAAGCATTCTTGCTCTTTGATACCCCCTGTCAGATGGCATGTGTTGACAGCTCTTGACCAGCTCTCTAGGTTGCCCTCGAGTGTACTGCTCTAGGTAGTATAAGCAGTCTACACTGCTAGCAGCTTTTCCTTCCACTCCATTTTCAAAAGCTCTGACAAATAAGTTGTACTCAAGAGGGTTTCCATCAAACACTGGTATGTCCCTTGGGGGTAATGATAATGAAGACTGCTGTTGCACTAGTAATGCTGTGATGTCGTTTTGCTTTTGCATGATGGTGAAAATATTGCCTTGGTCCGGTTCCTCCCTGTATTGGTATGATTGCTGTGATGGCTGTGCAGTTGAATATGACTGACGAGATATTTGAGGCATTCTGCCTTGGTCCTCATTGACTTGGATACATTGCTGTTGTGTATATGCACTGGGATATGACTGCAAAGACCTTTGAGGCATGCTTGGGATGTGATTTAAAGCATACGTTTTTGATCTGGTTCCTTGTGAAATGGTTTCTTTGCGCCGTGCCCCTGTTCCACTTGGCATTGTAGCTGCAGTATTGAACTGGTTGTATGGATCCTGTAGCTGCTGAGACTGTAATGGCATTGCAGCTTTAGCAGCTCCTGTTGGTGGATTGTACTGGTTGTATGGATTTTGATGTGATTGAGTGGGTTTTGTAGTTTTACTGCCTCCTGTTGGTGGATGATTGTATTGACAGTTTGGCTCCAATAATTGTGCTTTCATTGACATAGCAGTTTTACTGCCTCCTGTTGGTGGATGATTGTCGGTACAACTTGAAGTTTGTGGAACAAATGGCACAGCAGAGGGTTTGAGAGCAGACTTGTGTTTTGACACATATTAATTTGTTCCATTTGTGACTCCTATGTTTCGGAGTACTGTGACTTTTGCTGTCTGCGCAGCAATCTGACTTTGCACTTCAAGCAATTCCCTTTTCTTCCTAATTTGAGCCTCTTGAGCTTCCAGCTCATGCTTTTCCTTGAGAGCAGCCTCCAAAGCCAGGAGCGCAGCCCTTTCAGCCTCTGCCTTGATACATGCAGAGCACGTTGTTGACCTTGAGGACCTTGAATGGCCAGAGCTTCCACCTGACACATTTGTTTTGTCACCAATGTTAGAAATACTGTCATTTGGCCCAATATTATCCAGCTCCTCATTTGCATGTAACACATCATTTTCATCATCCACAACCTGTATGCATTTCTCCCTGTTTGCATGGACCCATTTTTCCATTTTGTGTATTACTCCTTTAACATTGTGCATTTTATTTTGAAACCATTCCGTTTATTTAAACATTTCATCCTCAGGCAACAAAGGTTGTAATGACTCATGCAACCTTGTAGTTTCCCCAGACAGTTTCCACAACATTTCATGTTTGATTTGTATGTCAGAAACATTTCCATCTGAAATCATCATTTGTTCCAATTCCTTTGCCATTTTACACAATTGCTTTATCCCAGAATTCCTATCCTTTTGCATAGATAATATCTTTGCTTCCGCTGCTTTATATGTGAGTTTAGCTGTCCTTTTAACAAGCCCATCCTCCTTTTCAGTTTGATTGACAGCAGCGTTCATTTCTGCGTTCATTTCCTGATTTTCCTCGTTACTCATGGCCATTATTTAGCAATCCACGGAGGCTTTGTTTAGAATTACTTTATGGGATTTGCCTGTATCCCGTTGCGTGAAGGCCACTCTCCTCCGCAACCTTTTATTCATTCATAAATACTCCTACCGTGACTTTGATGTTTGGTCCGTCCCCGTTCCTCTTGCGGGTGCGTACCGTGGATTTAAGTCGGGAAAAGTCAATGAATACAGCGATGTCCTCCTCTGTCCATCCGTCTTTGGAAGCGAGTTTTTCAACAAATGCAAAGGCAACCGAACAACAAATATTTGCCAGTGAGGGATATGGTGTGAAGCTTTTCCAGACGCGTGGTGTTGACAGCAAATCAGGTCTTCTCTTTGAGTGCATTTAAGATGTTTATTTGGATTGCAGGATGATGACAGCAAAACAAGAGCCGGGTGTTTAACTGATAACTAAACTGTGATAAAGAAATAAACTGAAATTAACTCAAAACAAACAGAAAATAAGCGAAAACACGCACGGTTGAAAAACTGTGTGACTTCCCTCTGGTGATTCCCAATCCCTAATGCTGTGCACCTGTGTCCTCCCTAAATAGTAGGCTGTACCCTGAAATTGGCTGAGTCCCCGCCTATGCCCAGGTCAATTCAGTAGTATCACAGCACCTTCATATACAAATATTAAAATACATCAAATTGGCTGCAACAAAAATGTAAACCGATCTTTTTCATATGGGTGATTAGAGTTGTACCCCCTAGATCTAGTAGTAATTATGCTCAAAGTGCACCAGATTGAAGCATTTTACTTTAAAATGTTCAATACAATCGATACTCTATTGACCTTTATCTTTTCTATTGTACGATTCTCTGGCTGGGGTGCCAGCTAAAATCTCGCCTAGGGCTGCAAATTGTCTAGAGCCGGCCTTGTATACAGAGATGCTGTATTAGAAACCAATGTGAGTTTGGAAAATTGCACAATATAAATGTATTTTAGTATACCTCAACAATGGAATTATATGATCAGTAGAAATGGCCATGACATGGGACCTTTAACATTCACTTTCGACTAAATAACAGATCAACGATACACAAGAAAACTCATACACATAGCAGCTTCTTCAATAATACGTGTTTCTTTGTACACACATTTTGATATAGAATAGTTGCATTAACTTAAAATATGTGTTGCAGTGAAACATATTTTAAGTTTAACTGGAAATGTAAGAAAACAGATATAGAAAACAAACTCTACTCTCCATGTTTCACTAGGAAACATGAGGACTTTTGTCCCACCCAGAAGCCGGGCACCATCCTCCCTTTGAAGGAGCTCTCGATCCGGTGCAGCAGTCTCACTTCGCTCTCCTTTCCCTCCTTCTCTTCTTCTACTGCATAAAAACTCATCACCCCAGCTGGCTGGTCGAGGTAAACCCCAATGGTGGTGCACTCTGGGATGTCCCATATTTCTGAATTATTGCCATTGAACCACACCTGGTAGCGGCATCCACCCCACCCGAGAGCCCAGGACTTATCATTCTCTCCAAACCCACATTGTCCGTCGCTGCCCCTCCTCCCTGCCCCCTCGTAGGCGACTCCTGCGACCACCCATCCTGAGTACTTCACCTCCCAATAAGCTCGGAAACCAAAGATTCTCTCTTTGCAAAGAACCTTGAAGAGAAAAAGGATATTTCTTGAGTGCAGGAAAAATGTAGATCTGGATTTACTCTTGATAAAACCTACCTGGGGGGTATGCTCATATCTCTCTGGTCCATCCAGGACGGGACAGGTGACGTTATCAGTCATGCGTGACACCTTGGATCCACCCTCAGTGATCCACAGCATCTTATTGGCTGTCTTGTCATCCAGGGAAAGGTCGATCCAGTCTGAGGGATTTGGAAAATTTGCAACAAAGACGGTCAGAAGGAGAAACTGTACTGTATGTGTCATGAGAGCAAAGAAAGGCATTTTTAAATGGTTGTTCCTACGTTTCAGAAGGTCAGCTCTGCATGTGGGCTCAGGGATGTTAAGCTCGTAGTCTGGAACTTTTTCTAAGAAGCAGAGGCATTGTCTTAAAAATCTTTTTTTAAAATACATTTTAAAAGTTAAGCTATCTGTGAGTTCACATTTAGAGATATATATTTTTCATGGTTTGCTAAAACATCATACCTGTTGGAGAGGCTGAATCTTTTTTTCTTTCAGGATTTGTCCCTGTAATTATAAAACAATCAATCTTAAGTTTGAAAACTTTTAGAAATGTAAAGTTTACAACTCTGCTCTCATCTCTAAATCTAAAAGAAATGTTTCTTACCATCAGTATGCACTTTATCTCAACAAAAGATTTGTTTTCTGGCAGATTAAACTCCAGGGTTCTGCATTATCAGGCATTATCTACTGAGGACTAGAAAAGGAGTTTACTCACCAGATTTTCCATTTGCTGGCATGATTCTCTGACTGGGAGCACTGGTTGGCATCGTTAATCGCTTCTCTCTCTGCTGCAGTGAGGCAAATAGCTTCTTTATATACCCACAGGAAAGAGGGTATTAAAGTTTTTTGAGGCCCCCTGGGGCTCCCTCAGAGAAATTTTGGTAAGGTATGCAGAGATAATGAGCTCAATAATAGGCGTGCTACTGAGCCAAACCTGGATATTCAGATCAGCGCCCGATCAGCGCCAACACATGACCAGCTGACCCGTATTTATCTTTGTCGTTCAGAATTTGTTGCTACAATTGTTCTGTCATCACTTTGTCATCATAATCACATCTTTGAAGTTGATACCTGTGCAGGAATGTGGTCATCCTTCACAGACACTGCAAGACAGGAGGAACAGCTTAACGCCACATCTTTGGTGGAGAGAAGAGAAAGCTGGACGACAGAGAGGTCATCTCTCTTAATTCACTGTTTAAGGAGAGAACTTTAAGGTAATGATTTACATTTTTTTATAATGTTACTGACTTGCTCTGTTATGCCTTTTAATAATCTTAAGGTATGAAGTAAATGCTTCTTTGCTCCTTTGACAAAGTAATATATAAACTGTTCTATATAGATTCCCCGGGTTTGGTTAATAATTGGTCATTTATAAGCATCTCCTGAATGTGTATTGATTGGTGACTTTGTCATTTTTGATAATTTTTTGTAAAAGTAGAAAAAGTTCTAAACTATTTAAAAATGATTACCCGTTGTTCTGTGGTTTGTTTGTTTTTAATGTTGAAACAACCTTTTTAGGGAATCAGAACAGTGGAAACATAAGTGATTTAGTTTTAATTCTCATTTAACTTTGAATTTTTCCTTTGTACGTTTTATGATACAGATTGTCAATAGACTCTCTTGGCGTTTCTAAAACTGAAGTCATGACCTTGACTGTGCAGAGCCGCAGAGTGAGGGGTCACAGCTTGGCCTTTGTGGTGGAGATCATTTGTCTGTCAGCATTGGTTTGAAAGCCACTTGGCCCCCGGTTTCTGATCTACGAGATACGATTGGAGGAATTTAGATTCCCTCACGCAAACCCGTCACCGACACTCCACCTCTCATTTATTTTCTATGTATCACTGGCAATCTTAGACAGTTCGGTCACTATAGCTCCCGCTATTTACTGTTTAGTATGTTGGTTGCCCGCCAGACATTTGCTTGGGCAGGCAGGAAAACTAGAAGGTTGGGGCAGCCTTGACTAGTTGGCTGTTTGCCGGGACCATAAACACCTGAGCTCCCGGCTCACAGCGGGAAGCAAATCACAGGAAAGGGGTTTATGACCTGCGACATACTTTTTCTTTTGACCCTGGGTATAAAGGCACTTGTAATAGTTTATGGTTGATGCGATAATACATGTCAAGTCCATAGCTATGGAGGTATGACGACCTAAGGTTCCTCAAGGCAAAGAAGGTAAATAGGTTATATAGTTGTATTTAGGTTTGTTTATTTATAGACAGTATGTATACGTTTGGACTGCTTGTTCTAAGCATAGTATATTTTAAATGTATATTCAAATGCATGATTATGGCAGTACAGTACAATATATATATATATATATATTATACTGTATATTGTGTATAATTTATATATATATATTATACTGTAGATTGTATATCATTTATATATATATATATATTAGATTGTATATCATTTATATATATATATATTATATTGTATATTGTGTATAATGTATATATATATATATATTATATTGTAGATTGTATATCATTTATATATATATTAGGGCCGGGACTTTAACGCGTTAATTAAGATTAATTAATTACACAAAAATTAACGCGTTAAAAAAATTAACGCATTTTAATCGCACTTATTTTTGCACCACGGAACGTTTCTCACTGGATGAGTTTCAGGCGTACCGATTATACTGGAGCACCAACTAACGTTCATGACTTCAGACAACAACAAACCACAGTGAACAACAGTGGGAAATGTTGTTTTAAAAAACGGACGGATGGAAGCGTCGATAAGAGCACGGTTGTGTGCAAATTATGCAAAAAGGAATTCGCATATCACCGCAGCACATCAAGCCTCAAGTATCACCTCAATGCAAAACATATAGCAGCTAGCGTGGAAGCTAGCGTGGACGTTAGCCTCTTTTATCGCGTTCACACCAAAAAGAGCCGGTACTAAAATTAGTTCATGAGAACCTTTTTACCCCCACGAAAGCCCCTGCTAGAGAGCAGAGAGCTGCTAGAGAGCAGGGACTTTCGTGCGGCTCTCTTGTGAGAAAAGAGCTATATTTCTGATTGGCTGGGCGGATTGCAAACCACGCCCCGTAAAACTCCCAAAAAGTTTTGTGAAGCCGCCATTTTATTATCCTCGCATTAGCATTAGCATTAGCCCAGCGCAGAAACGCAGAGAGACTAATTTATGGCAACACAAATAAAACATGGGAGCGGTGGAGATGAGGAGGTGTCGGCGTTCTGGCGATTTACTCGGAAGGCTGCTGGGACTCCCAGCAGCTTCTACTGAAGCCAGGCCCCAACTCCGGGGACTTCCGGCCGGGGACTTTGGGCGGCAGTATACGCCGTTTGCGGCCTGCCAGTAAACCCAAAGCAGAAGAAGAAGAAGTGACGTCAGCGGCTTCATTTGCCTAATCCTCCCCCAGGTTCAAAGAGTTCTCATGAACTAAATTCTCATGAACCTTTGTGGGAAAAGTACTGCGGTGTGAATGCGCCTAATGGTATACTAAAATCCATGTGAAAAAAATTGCTTCTCACTGTTCTCAGGTCAAATATTTATATGTGATTAAAAATGCGATTAATTTCGATTAATTAATTACAAAGCCTCTAATTAATTAGATTAATTTTTTTAATCGAGTCCCGGCCCTAATATATATATATTATACTGTATTTTGTATATTATATTTATATATTGTTGTTGTATTGTTCTATAGACAATCATCATCATCCACACTTAGAGGACAAACTGTCTTTGTCAACTGCCATACAAAATGTTACACTTTCACTGATTTAAATATTTTCACTTAATTCCTAATGTTGACAACCAGATATTTTATAATTTTCAGAATTGGAACCCTATGAATGAAAAGTTTGTTGACATAATACCCCTATCGTTTTTTCTTCTTTTAAAAAACCCCCCTCAATCTTATAGAAAGCAATAAAAACTACAATTCTGAAGTCAGTCAGGGCTCTAAGTAAAAATCCTGATGCAATAGAATGCGTGACTTTCTGCTGTAAATGCCACAGGAACAAACCAGTGGTTTCTTCAACGGGTATATCTTTTTAAATGTTAGGGTTAAGGTTAGTGTCTGCATTTTTGAAACACAGTTTATTATAGACCTTTGATGCTGAGGTTTCAGTTCCAAATCAAGAAAACAAAGCTATGAAAACAAAACCTAAATGTTGCCTTACTCAGCCAAAATTATTCTAAAAAATAATCAAAAAGCCCTAAATGTCCCTGAGAGCATGTGTAAATACATTGCATCACATTTTGATATCGAACAAAGTTACAAATACACATTTGCAGCTGCTAGACCCCACACAGCTTCACCAGGAACCAAACAGATCTTTGCAGTCTTATACGCATAATTCATGTGTGTGTGTGTGTGTGTGTGTGTGTGTGTGTGTGTGTGTGTGTGTGTGTGTGTGTGTGTGTGCATGCTGGCATGTTTTCATGCTTGCATGTCCGTGTGGTTGTGTTTGCATAGACCAATAATCCTGTCCACCATCAATACACCAATGCTGTCACTGTGCAATGTGGAGGGATCAGTGGTTGTGATACAGTGGGAGGGGGCGTGGTTTACTTGGTACCAGGGGCTGTACTTCAGATATCGAAGCATCCATGTAACCTTTTTAAGGAAAAACATACAGCTCCAATTACAAGCTTCCATCCTCCCCCTCCTTTTCTATTGGAACATTTTATCTCACGGTCATGTCCACGCCACCGGCTCTCATTCCTCCACCTTTGTCCTGCATTAAAGGTATATAAGAGTGGCATTAAGTTGTCACGCAGTGGAGCCAAAAGAGACCCATCAAACTTAGAGGGACCGGTGACATCAGGCTCGAGACAGGCTCACCACAGCAGCTTTAAAACCCTTTCATCAAGAATGCCAGCCACCAACAGAATCATTTCTGACAGCCGGATGGCAGATAAAGGTGAAATTATTTCCTATATTTTTCCATTTTTAATCATTTGTTTGTGTACAGTAAATTCAAATTTGTAATGTTTTCCTGCTAAATGTCATCCATTTCTTAGCACATCCTAAATTCCTGAAAAAGAAATTCATTTTCTGGTAAATTAAGCCTTTAAGTAATATGTCAGCATATCTTAGTAGGCGCTAATGCAGCAATTATGATCAGCAATGCTTTAAATGTACTGATTCAAGTACCCCAGCCTTACTGTGACTGCAGCAGTTTTTATTATCCTCCGAGGTATATCCTGAGTGAATGGGTCACTAGAGTTAATGTCTGTATGGATAGCGCAATATTTCACAGGCAGATTTCATGCTTGTCGTTATGAGGGGCCTATAATGGTTTTACTGCCTGGGAGCAAGGGTCTGTAAGCGTCAACATCATATGCATTAAACAAGATTTAACGTGTATTCAAATGTTGTATGTGTAGTGTAATACCCATCTTGAAAATGGGTGACATTCAGCAGGATTGTAGCTCAATAATGTCAGCTTACAGACAGTTTTATCATGACAACAGAGGAAAACAATCTCATATGAACCTGTAAAATAACTTTCAGAGGAGTACCGTATCTACTTTGCAGTTACTGATGTTAAAAATTGTATAATTGTCAAAAGAAAAATCTAGCATTTTGCCTGTTCAACACAACATTGTAGTCCTAATAAAACGTGTATTTCTTCTAACACCTAAAATGTGCATTCTCACCATAAAAACAGACAGTTAGATCATTGCGTAATCATTTTTTAAAAAATGCATTCAACTCCTGTCACTTGCCTAACAAGCCCGATGGCCTCAGAGGGAGTTCAAAGCTACTTTAGAGCTTAAATGTTTTGTATGGTGTCATGTTGTAATGAGGGCAGACAAAGCAGTTGTTTTCATCACAGCTATATTCAGACATGTGGCCTAACATTCTCTCATGGCCCATCAGCCTTCTGTCAGCAGAGAGATAAATATAATCTCATATCCAAGTCACAAGTGGCTTTAAAATAACTGTCCAATTTGAAAAGGGCAAATAATCATAACAGCACGCAAAACATAACTTCATTTTCAAAACTTCAAACTTTTTTTTTTTTTTCGCTCGCCAAGACAAACTTAAGTTGTGTTCTGATGGGTTGCCAATGTGTGAATGATAAGATGGTTTATTTTGGAGATGTGTTGATATAAATAAAACTCATTACTTATGTTAGTTGACGCTGACATCTTAATGCTGCCCGGATTAGGTGTCTCCTCCTCTTGATCTCAGTCCGTAACAACAAACGGGACACTGAATGCTTGCACAAGTATTCCTTACAAAATTGGCATCAGGTCCGAGCCTGAAATGCAACTGTTATCCATCAGCTATTAGTTCAAGGAAAGTTGCTACACAATACGCCGCCTGTTATCAACCCTAATTTGAAATCTAAATGCTAGCAGAGTTAATTATCTTCTGTCTGCATTATAAGCTCCCTTTATTAAAAAATAGCCTCCTTATCAAATGTATGAATAAACCATGTGATACAATCTATTATCCTCACATTAACTCTATTGCAAAATAGCTGTGTTTCATTTAGGCCAACATTAAATGGAATTTGTCACTTTTTTTATGGGTTTACCCAACTCTCCTAGTTGTTGTTTACCTCAATAAACAAATACTCGATCTACATCCCCAATTTATCGGATTTGTGCAAGTAGATCATGTCTCTTCTCATCTGATAAACTGCTCTGAGCTTCATGCAGCGCTCCAGTGTGTGTGACTGAGGCTTACCCCCCTCCAACATTTGAGGTGTCTTGTTAATTCTAACTGCCTGGCATGAATCAGCCACTGGCTCCAGAAAGTTGCTGATGAGCCGGCAGAGGCAGATGGTTTCTAAGTATACACCCTTTTGCACTTCATCACCTGTTGGGACACACCTGACATGAACTCTTTCCGATATTATTTATAACAGCCCAGTATGAAACTCATTATACAGAACGTTGCACTTTCTCAAATTGTTGTTCTTTTTTTATTTTTTTTGCAGAAAAAAAAGTTAAAAAGGGCAAGTCACCAACAGGTAATTTAATGAATGTTTTTATTAGAAATTATTATTATTAATATTATTATTATTAGTAGTAGTAGTAGTAGTAGTAGTAGTAGTAGTAGTAGTAGTAGTAGTAGTAGTAGTAGTAGTAGTAGTAGTAGTAGTAGTAGCAGTCGTTGATCAAAATCAGGCTTGTGCTTTTTAATTATTCTGCGAATACAGATTAAAAAATGCCATCCGTCTCCAGTTTCCATGACCTTGTTTTTCTGTCACCTGCTCCTCAGAGAATGTCCCCTTCTACGAGCCAAACACCCCCGAGCCTAAATGCAGATCTGATCTTATAAAACGTAAGATTGTCACTCAAGTTTTTAATCTTTCACAATTTGTAATTAAAAAAAGGTTTAATTTTTTGCCATTTATTTCTGTTGTTTTGTTCCCAGACTGGTTCAACCTTTCCTTTGATGACAAGACAGCCAATAAGATGCTGTGGGTCGGAGAGCAGGGTGCTAAGGTGGCCCGAATGACCGATGACATCACTTGTCCCGTCTTGGATAGACCAGAGCGATATGAGTATTCTCCACAGGTACAATGTGAAGATGCACTTATTTTTGTCTGAAATGATGCAATTTAATTTCTCCTGATGTTCAATATGGTGTAAAATAAGATAAGGGTGTATAATACTGTCATCACCCTGCCATAGCCATTAATGTGATTGTAAAACCTAGGCAACGGGATTCTCTACTTGAGGGCTGTCCCGTGTGTTTATTTAAATCCTGATGCAGCTGGTTTGGCATTGCAAGTCGGAGTACTCTGAATTCTCCTGCCCGGCAGCAGTAATAAATCACAGGTTATGTTGGATTGCCTCTAAGTCACATTAATTCCCATCCACATTTCCAAAGGTTCTTTGCAAAGAGGGCATCCTGGGTGTCCGAGCCTACTGGGAAATCGAGTACTCAGGCTGGGTCGTGATCGGGGTCGCGTACGAACGAGCAGGAAGAAGGAATAGCGACGGATCCTGTGGCCTGGGAGAGAACGAGGAGTCATGGGGTCTGGGCTGGAGCGGTTCCAGCTATAACACCTGGCACAACGGCTCCTTTGTAGAGATCCTGGATATTCCCAAGTACACAACAATTGGTGTTTACCTTGACCAGCCTGCCGGTATCCTCAATTTCTATGGTGTGGATGAGGTGAAGGAGGGAGAGGAAAACACAGGAGAAAAGGAGGTTTACATTTTGCAACAGATCAGGAGCCCCTTTGAGCAGAAAATGATACCTGGTTTCTGGGTAGGGCCGCAGTCACACTGCTCTATCAAAAAGAAGGAGGAATAAATGTCAGAATCAACATTACAACATCATATCTGAATGTTAATGATTATGAGAGAGAAGTTAAACTACCTTTAAACTACAGTTATTGCAGCTTTAAACACAAAATGACAAATTACATTAGAATACTAGCATTAGTGCACATGAGATGTATTCCTTATATTCAGTATCTCTTAGATATATAGTTAGGGTTGTACATTTCAGGTAAGGCAACAAATTGCAATCAGGTGCGTGGGGTTCACCTTTGACCTACCGCTCCTTTGGACTTTCCTGTCACCACTGGACCACTCAAGGTTTATACTGATATATTTATATGTATTTTTATTCCTCCATTGTTAATGTTTGCTAATAATGTATAGGGTTACCTGGTTTGAATGTTTGCTACAGTATATGTAAAGTTTGAATAAATAATAAAACACTGAGTGCGACACAATTTGTCTTGTTTGGTTTCTTAAAAAAGTAGTGGTGCAAGCATTTAAATATTAGATTACTTAACAATACACTGATAATAGGGTTATTGCAATTTCAACACTAACATTTGTATTTCCTTAAGGTTAGCTGTTAGCATACACTACCTACAAAGCTGATGTTATATTCTAATTGACGAAAACAAATCAGCGATGATGCTCTTGATGCAGGACTTGGTAACACACATGATATTCTTTTACAAACAGACTTCTAATGTTTCAAATGTGTCCAGTGTCTGTTTTTAGCCTCACATAAATCGATATGACACAGCCAAGTGCGTAACCTCATATGGCCCCTGGCCCCCTGCCAAATACTGTTCCATTAACCTTAAATACCTCGTCAGGCGCTCCTCAACCCCGCTGAATCATATTTACTGAGGGTATAAAAGTCGAGTGGAAGACTTGCACTCTTCATATTGTGTTAGCAAATGGAAATGGATTATTAAAACCCAGCTAAAAGATGCCCACTACACCCAAGTCTGCCATAATCATCTCAGAGAGCAACAAACCAGGTACAATGAGTTTGTGGCATGAAAATATATGTTCATTAAATCAACGCATTAGCATTATTAAAAACATGTATAAGCTCTTTTAACATTCATTACCACTGCCGGACTTTTCTTGGATTATGGTAGCTGCCTTGTCAAACAGTGTATTAAGGCATGTACTGTATGTCTTAAATCCCTCATGGTGTAGTGTAAGCAACAGATGGGTTTAATACCAAAATGAAGCATGTGAAAACACATACATATGAGTGTTAAATCGAGAGCACATAATATACCTTTAAATAGCATGTGTTTTGATTGTTTTTCAAAAGAGATGTGAAGTTCAATATATTTGAATTAAATAAAGTATCAAATAAATGGAAAAAAGGGGAGGGGGGATTTTAACTTCACCTGTTGCAGTGATATTAATGAATGAAAGTTGATGGTGCAACCTTTTCAGAATAATATACCAATGTAACTACCATTTTAAAACTCTTTATGAACTTATCATTTCAAAAATATACGAGACAATTGTTCCTAATATTTATTAATAATTTATATTCTATACTTTCTGAAAGAAGAAACAATAATACTGAGATCTATTTTCGATTGTTTAACCTTTGGTCTTAACCTTTTTAGGCCAGAAAATGAATTCCAACAAGAAAAAGAAGACAATTCAAGGTAATTGTCTTGATACATGCTTTAATGCTCTTTATGATGTGAATATTAGTTTGTATTTTCAACCATTTTTCTTTCCGTACAGAAAAAGTTCCTGTTTATGAGGCGGACATCCCAGAGCCAACATGCAGAGTCGAGCTATTGAAGTGTATGAGCAGATTTATTTCCAAACAATTGAATGTTTAGCACTTTTGTCCAGGATTTAATTAATGAAAACTGCATTTGCTTTATTTTCCTCCTACAGACTGGAAGAATTTTTCTTTGGATGATAAGACTGCCAACAAGCTTTTGTGGATTTCCGACAATGGGTCTAAAGTGTTACGTAGGACTGAGGAGGTTTGTCCTGTCCTGGATAGATCAGAGAGATACGAGTACTCTCCACAGGTGACTCAGAAAATAATAGAAAATACAGTGACAGGCTTGTAAAGAAACACATGGTTTGTTTGTTGTAACTGTTGTTTATTTTTTGTTATTTCTTAAAAGGTTTTGTGCAAAGAGTCTATTTGGAACATGAGGGCTTATTGGGAGGTGGACTACGACGGGTGGGTGGCGATCGGAGCCACCTATGAAGGAGCAGCAAGGAGAGCAAACTCCGGGCAGAGCGGCCTGGGGGAGAATGAAGAGTCCTGGGGTCTGTGTTGGTCAGGCACACGATACCAGATCTGGTTCAACAGTGTAAATGAAGACATATTAGATATCCCGAACAGCTCCACCATTGGAGTTTACGTGGACCAGCCTGCAGGGATTATCAGCTTTTATGTTGTGACCGGTGAGGGGCCAGAAAAGGAGGTCAAGCTATTGCAAAAAATTACCACCACTCTTAAGGAAAATATTATTCCAGGTTTCTGGATGGGAATGCAGTCCTCATGCACAATAGTGAAGAGACCAGAATGAATTGCTAAAGCTGAAACTGAGCAAATTCATTGATGACGTCAACGGTTTTGATACTTAAATGTCAACTGTTGCACATATTCCTGTACATCTTATTTTAATACCTTAAAGGTGGGGTATGTCATTTTGGAGAAACCAGCTCGAGTGCGCTAGAATTTGAAAGTACACAACCGGAAAAAATCTGCCTCTTCCTTCAGACTTCCTTACAGAGCCCCTCCTCTAACACACACGAACGCGCACATGACCATGACCAGGGCACGAGATAAGTTTGTGCACAGATGGAAGGCTGACAGGCAGGTAGGCCATCCAGTTACTTTAGCCGGGATTTTTACAGTACTACGGCTTCCACAGATGACATTTTTTAATGTATTTATTGTCAAAGCATTTAATATATTCATTGCTAACGGGATGTTAAGAGTATTCCATGGAATATAACAAAAAGTGTTTCTGAAATAAATTACATACCCCAGCTTTAAGTGTATTTTTTTTAACATCACGCATCTGATTGGAAAGTTATGTACTGATGTGTTGAGTGCCTTTGGACTTTCTGTAATCTCAAATAAATGTGTTACTATAAATGAATGCTTTCACAGCAGCGTATTTGATTGCTTTGAATTTTATTTTTGTATTTCCCGTTTTCACATCACCCCTTAAAGGGGACCTATCATGCAAAATGCACTTTTTGATGTCTTTTATACATAAATATGTGTCCCTGGTGTGTCAGGGAACTCAAGCAGCGTCAGAAAATAACACCCTCTCTCTTTTCCTCCGTACCCAAATCTCTAAAAACGGGGCTACAACGGAGCTGATCCAGATTTGATGTAATATCGGCGGCGGACCCACAGCAATATCAGAAATAATGCCTGTTTTGGACATAATATGGTCGGTGTTACATTAGCATCGCTAACACTCAGCGCTAACCTGTACTGGAGAGCATGTGTGTGAAGAAGCAGGAAATAAAAAGGAACTCACCTTGTGGTATAACCGGCAAGAGAGAAAGCCTTTGAGCTCCATACTGTTTCAGAAATAATCCTTGATAATCCATGATATGGCGTTTCATCACGGCAATATTTAGTTTAGACAGAGCATAAGCGCCGCCCCCTCTTTTTAAATTTATTTTATTTTATTTATACTAGGGCTGCTAGTCGATTAAAAATATTTAATCGCCATTAATCGCATGATTGTCCATAGTTAATCACGATTAATCGCAAATTAATCGCACATTTTTTATCTGTTCTAAATGTACCTTAGAGGAATATTTTTCAAGTTTTTAATATTCTCATGAATATTAAACACAACAACCTCTGAACATTACAAATATTCGCCTCAATTCAACCTGGAACCTCTCTCATACAATAATACAATACAAATGGTGTGTGCGTGTGTGTGTGTGTGTGTGTGTGTGTGTATGTGTGTGTGTGTGTGTGTGTGTGTGTGTGTGTGTGTGTGTGTGTGTGTGTGTGTGTGTGCCTGTGTGTGTGTGTGTATGTGTGTGTGTGTGTGTGTGCGTGTGCGTGTGTGATGGATCGTTGGAGCTATGTGCAACTCAAGGCATATGCTCGAACGGGAGCTGCCTGGACGCTGCAATCATGTTGTGCACTATCCGTGCTGAGTGTGCTGACTTTTTGACTACAATGTCCTACTGTCTGGCTTCCTGCATAAAGTCAAGTGCTCGGCGCAGTTGTGGCGAAATGTCGCTCCTCTGTTTTCATTTAAACAGCTCCATATCCGTTAGCGCAGCTAGCTAGCACCAGATGCTAACAACAACAATGCACGTAAGGTCTCTCTCTCGCTCGGGCCACACATACACACACCCAGGGCCGTATCCAGGATTTCCTAAATACCGAGGTCCAAACATGCTAGGGGAATTCGGGGGATACCCCCCGAGATTTTTGGGATTTTCATGATCTAGTTATGGTGCTTTTTAAGTCCTATGGGGGGTCACAAATTGGATAATATATCGATTTCAAACCATGTCAGTGGGCTGACAATGTCAGCATCAATTATTTTGAAAGTGTAATACATAATAAGAATCAGTTGATTGTTACTATTAATGATCTGGACATGCAGAAGAGGCTAAAATGATCACAAAACATTGTCAACATCAGTGGCGAGCCGTGACTTTATACCTAGGCCCTCTGACCCCCACCCCTTCCCTCGAGTTATTACGTCACAGCGTATACGTATACTTCAGCGGAATATCAAAACAACGGCCCGGGGTGCAAAACGCAATGAAAGCGACCCTCTACCACACAAAACAACACCTGTAAATAACCCTATTTGTGTTCTTTGAAATTGAAAAGGATATTGCATTGTGTTTGTTACTTTCGTTGCAGTTGTATGTCTTAAGTGTAATTTGGCATGCTTTTATTTTGAAGGCGAGTTAACGCTGTTGACAGGAAGTTGTTGTTGCTATGGAAACAAGAAACGTTTCACAGCGGGCAGAACTTGTCATAAAGTCCGCGATAATAACACCCACCCATTTAGCGGAAAGATATGATTGGTCAATTGTACTGTCATTTGACATTACTCTCTCGTTCAGTTACTATAGCGGGGCCCTCTGTGAATTCATAGCTGGACCGCCTGGACGTCCAACAGCTCCTCTCTTCACAGTAACTTGCAGAGACGAGCTTCTTTCATTTAACTCTTCACATTCCAACATAAACTGAATAGGCAGATTTGAAGGATTTATTTCTTTGGAAATGTTATTTTAAATACAATTAAATCAAGTTATTTTGGTAAAACTAATGACAAATATAACTAAAAAAATATATTAAAAAATATATAATTTGTTTTAATGTTTTTAAATATTATTTTGTAGAATATCTTAGGCCCTCACAGAGGGCCCTGACGGCTAACCTACAGCCTCTCTTCCATCTTCTTGAGTCTCTCTGTCTTCTTCCTGTTCATTACTCTCTCTGTCCTCTACGCTTTCTCTTTGTTCAATCTCTCCCTCGTTGTTCACTTTTTGCTCCTCTTCACTTGTCGCTCCTGCCAGTGAATCAAAAGCAATTCAGCAATTTAGTTCATTTCACTTGTTTGTTTGCATTCTTTTTTTATTTAAATCTGTTTTGTTTGATTCCCAAAAGAGAACAAAGATGTAAGCAAATTGTGTTTTATACAATTGTATGTTATTATGACATCATCACAAGACTATTGTTATAGACACATTACATATTTCTCTCTCTCTCTCTCTCTCTCTCTCTCTCTCTCTCTCTCTCTCTCTCTCTCTCTCTCTCACCAAAGCTGAGCTTCGACTGACTGACGTAGTCTTCTCATTATATCTGAGTCAGTGTAAAAAGAAAACAATACAATGTTATATCTTCGATGTTTTACTCAAATTGAAATAAAAGAAAAGCATTACAACGTTTGTTAAAAGGTAATCCTTCTGACATTGGATGAATGTAATTAACTTTAGCTCTCTAGCTAGTTTATTCACGCAATTTAAACCAAAGTATAGCCTATAGCTGCAATATAAGTTAGTGTGCATGTTGTCGGACGTCCACTGACTAACGTAGAGCGTTCACACAGGATCTGCTGCTCATATGATGTCCTGATGAACAGAAACACAAGTAGCCCGCTGGACTCAGATCTCTAGATACCTCATCACTCCTCCGCTGCTCCGGTACAAGTCCGGGCTGCGGTGATTTCTTGATACATGTCGTCTTCTTCTGTTTGCTTTAATCGAGGCTACGTAGTTATGCAGCGCCCCCATGGTCAGTAAATGGAAGTACTACAAAGAACCCCGTTTAGTGTAATTATTTCACAAGTTTTGTTATACACAGCTCGGAAAATATTACCGAGGTCCGGACCTCGGTGACCTCAATGGTAGATACGGCCATGCACACACCCTCCCGGTCCTCCCAACAGCCAGTCGGTGCCTGCCGGTGAGCGTGGAAGTGTGGTCTGCCACAAGCGGGCAGCAGGAGCGGGGCTGTCAGCATCAGCTTGTAGATGGTATTTTAAACTCGATGCGCTCTGAAACTACGGGGCGGCCGAGGAAAAAAAATACACATGCGTTAATCGCGTTAAAATAATGAGTGGCGTGAATTTTGTTTTGCGTTAACGCGTTATTAACGCGTTAACTTGACAGCCCTACTTTATACATAAAATCAGCACTTTTGAAACAGGAAGTGAAATAGAGGGATATGAGGCATGGCTAGAATGGGTGATCTGTTTGGTATTTTGAGCAAAACACTTCATAGACATGTTTTTTATATATTTGTATATATCTGAGACCTATGCTATTGCCTAAAAAATAGCATGATAGGTGACCTTTAATAAACATCAACCAATTAAATAAATCAACAGTTATTTTAAGGTGGAAATCAAATTATATTAAGAAAATAGGCCATATTAAGGCAAGTTTACTATAAAATATGTAATACTGGACCTAAATCTTCAAAAATGTCATAAATGTCAACTTGCAAGGAAGGAGTAAACTGAAAACGTTTAGTTTTAGTCTGCAGTCTGACTGTTTAGGTGGAAAAATGTGTACCCAAGGGAAGACATTCCTTTTAATGTAAAACTTTAACAAAAATGATTTCAAACTAAGTTAAAAATTACATTACATTACATTACATGTTACTTGTTAGACGCTTTTATTCAAAGCAACTAACATACTCAATACTGTGGGCAATCCCCACAGGAGCAATTTGGGGTGAAGTGTCTTGCCCAGGGACACAACAACATGCTGCAGTGGGGTTTGAACCTAAAAATTGATTACTTTAAATACTAAACCCACTTAGTCAATATTTGACCCCGGTGTTTTAAATAAGGATTAATTACAACAATTTATTTTCATTAAAAGTAAAAAGGTTGATAACACATTTAAATGGATAACCAATAAAACTAGAATTTCATTAAAGAAATACAAGCTTGTGTTAGTTTGTGTTGATAAATTAAACTGTAACCATGTACAGTATAGGGAGTATGTAGGGATGAATCTAATAATACCATCGGACAGTTAATACATTTGTTTACACAGTAGATTAAGGTTTTCACACCTCATAAATAGTTAAATACACAGGGGGGGGGGGTGGAGCATGCTCGTGAACTGTTAGCGTCGGAGCCTCGCAGCGGGAAAACTGTGGCGCGCATATTGTGCCCCATTTGTGCATAAGATGGGGCCCCCTCCGCAAGATGAGGCCCTACGCACTCTGCGTGTTCTGAGTGTAGG